ATATATATATATGCTCCCTCTCTCTATATATATACTTGCGTAATATTTACAATTACAAGTCTGAGTTTAGACCATTCCCAAATGGAGGATATTTTATAATAATTTTAAATGTTCTTATGCACAGTAGAATTAGAATTGTAAATGGGCTGATTTATCAATGTCATGCTGGGAACTCATGCTGCTTTTTCTTTCCTCGTCTTTACTATCGTCATTTTCCCCTCTACTTCTTTAATTGTGTGTTTGTCACTCTGTTGTAAGCTGCTATTATTTTCAGGGTGCCTTCGAAGCGGACTTTCGTGCTGACGTTGAGGCTCGAGAGGTGAGCAGAGTAAGCCTGATTTCCAGTTTGTACTTCTCTGTTGATATCCACCCTTGGCCCTCATATGACCTTATGCAGTTGCGAGCGCCGCAAAACCTTACATTAAAAAAAAATTCTGAGTGGGTCCTGTAATATAGATCTATATATCGAGGTGTGAATGCTTTTTAAAAAATCTTGTCTTATTATTTTGTTGTTGTGGTTGTTGTTGTAACTGATGTCGCCACTATAGCAGTTACACTACAATCGTTATTATTTTTTAAGGTAAGCCAATTTATTTTTATTATTATAATAGATCTAGATCTAGATCAGCTAGATCTAGATTCTAGATCTAGTTCTCTGCTTTTTAAACCAAGTAAAAATTACGCATAAAGCTACCTTGACGCATATTAGGCTTATGCTTGAATTCTGAATCAAACCTTTCGATGCTTCCTGTACAAAAGTAAAGATAAAAAAGCAAGTATACATAAATTATTCCTTACAGTAGAGTTTAATTGTTACTGTTTTTGTTTTGTTTTTGTTTTTGTAAGCAAAAAGAAGAGAACAAGAGTGTGTGTGTAGGCAACCGGTAGCATACAAAAGGCAGGGTCTACACTACAGGCAGAGAGTATTTAATTATATTTTAGTGTCTCTGCTACAGGGCATTTGGGCATCTTGGCATTATTGCCAAATAGAAAGGTATAGTGTCATTCTTGAGGACTGGCTATTTTTATTTGCCGAGAAATGTTCTCTGAACACAAAAAACCCAATATCAACTCATCCAAACAATTATTACAGACGTCAAGGCTAAAAAATGAAGAAGATTTCACTGTGGAAAAATTAAACAAAACTTAAAGTTATGTGTATTTTAATGTGAGAGAAAATCTGGCGTTGTCCAATCTCAAGTTTTTGTTGTTTCCTCAACTGAAGAGTCCAACCAGTAGACGACACGTTCGTATTGGGTGCAGATGTTTGTTTACATATTGTTGCACGTTGTTGTTGAACCGTTGGTTAGTCGCAGTGAAGTGCACTATTAACGGAATTCCTTTAGAGATCTTGCACTTAAAGTAAGTTTTTGTGTCTAAGTAGCATTTCTTGAACTGTCTAGATCTAGATTAGATATCTAGATCTATATATCTCTATATTCTATATCTAGCAGGGCAGCAGGATTAGATCAAACACTACTACTACTACAGTACGTACTGTCACTGTCATAGTCATGCTTGCTAATAATTACTAGATCTAGATCTAGATCTAGATCTAGAATCTAGATCTACATCTAGATATCTAGATCTAGATCTAGATCTAGATCTAGAGGTAGCGTCAATTGCCACAAAAATTGACTTTTTGTCAATTGCCACCGAGTGAAGCGGTGTCAAGTCTGAAAACAACATTATCTTTAGCCTTAGCATTATACACTTAGATCTATACATGATAATAATAATGTGTGTCTTATGAAATGGGTCAATTTGTTCTCAATAATTTCATTGGACGAGCATCTAGTCTAGAGCTACGGTACCAACTTGCCGTGTTTTCAATGAGACGTAGGCCTAGATCTAGGCTAGCCTAGCCTACACTTTGGTGTAGAACCGACACGGGCAATTCTAGATATAGATCTAGAAGTAGAATCTCAAACGCACACAAACTCAAGCAGAAATTCACGTTATATCGGGGAACATAAATCGGGGGACGGGGGTGGGGAAAAGACACACACACACACACACACACAAACACACACACACACAGAGGGACAGAGAGGCGAATGCACAACACCGAGCACTCAAGCACAATATAAGCTAGATCTAGCCTACCCACCAACGCAAAAGAGCTCCAATTTACTCGATGGCAATTGAAAGTCAATTTTTGCCAATTGCCACCGCGTTACTCTGGACTCTGTGGCAGTTGACACTACCTTTAGTAATCGAAGGGATTATTCTCACTCGATACTATTCTCACTCCGGGTGAGATGAGAAGAACGACAGCCTACTCTATTCTCACCCGTTTTTTTTTGTTTCCGCCCGCCCTTTTTTGTTTCGTTTCGGGGCACTACTTGGATATGGTGGTCCCGACTTTTGTGACTGGGAAATATAACCCAGAGAAAATCTAGAACCTCAAGGACGATTACTTCTGGTTCTATTTAAGTCTAAACAATTACTTTTCGCAGTGGCTATTTTTACGGCGAGCCGTAAAGATAGCCTCCCAGTGAGTCCCAGGCTATTTTTATGGCGATCCTCGAAAAGCGACCCTACTCCGCCTCTCATGTACGCGACATGCCTCAATGTATTAGATTTAGGCCTATAGGGGCCGTTCAAAATATAAACTTACACCTCAGAGGGGAAAAGGTGTCTTTGGCTTCTGTAAGAAAAGTGGAAGATTGGGTGGGGAGGTGAGATGAACGTTTTGCTCATGACTGGGAAGAAAAGGTAAAAGAAAAAGTGGATAAATGCCAGTAACAAGACCCAGATCTGCATGATCACTGCAGATCCCCGTTGTTTTTGTTTTTTTTTTGTTGTTGTTTTTTTTGTTTTTTGTTGTTGTTTTTTTAGGGGGGGGGGGGGGGGGGTTACAAATAATTTTGAAATTATGATGAAAATTCTGTAGGTGGACATCTAATTTCTTAATGTTTCTTTATAACTTTGCAACTGTTTTGTTGATCTTTTAATGTCTTGGTGTCTTTTATTTGTAAGGCATGTACCTATTGCACTGACAACAGTCTCAATGTCTTCCACATATATATGCGTTCTTTTTAGTCCATATGGTTTGATTAAATTGTATTAACTAAAATGTTCTTTTTACGGCGGTCACAAATTGATGACGTAGAACACGTTTTTCAGTCTTATAAATTCCGTCTTGGCTTGTAGGTCTTGTAGGCTACTACCTTATTTGTTATTTTATACTACATTTTACTAAATGACTAAACTAATGTAACATACTTTGAGCTGGTTAAAACCGAGAGTAAGGCACTATAATTAAATGTCCTCTATTATTAGTATTATCATAATTATAGTCTTTATTCTGGACTTAAACAATTCAATGTTTTTATGTTCTTTACTAGGACCTTGTTGTTGTGGGATTCTTTGAAATAAATAAATAGAGATCGCATTTTTAAAGTTTTTGTGTTTTGTTTTCTGATGTGCTCATATTATTACTGTCCTTTTTTATGGGGAACAGCTCACCCCAAGGGTGATTCTTTTTCCGATTCATATTTAGGAAAAAAAATTATGCAGGCATAAAAAATAATGAACAAAGTAAATTTTGATAAGTCGGAAAATATGAAAGTTGCCATGGAATGGAAACAGCACCAACATGCAAAACAAACAATAATTTTAAAAAAACGAAGGCTTCTTACTCTCTAACAAAATTGCATGAAAATTGGTGGAATGGTAGATACAGATACTATGGTCAATCGTACTGAGCAAAATTTTGAAATTTGAATGTAAAAAAATATATATGTGTTCCTGTACCCTGAAATTGCATCACAATAATTAATAAATTAATCATTGTGAACGCAAAAAATTTTTTTTTTACACCTCTATCAAAAATCTGCTCCGTGCAAATTATAAGGAAGGAGGAACATTTTAAAGGCATTCCCAAGGCGAAAAGTGTTAACTTCAAAATGGCCGCTCTTCTTGTGGGTGTGGTACATGTAGTGATGTCAGTGAATGAGATGATGATGCTGGCAGTGGCAGTGACGATGGTAATGATAGTGACAGGGAGGTGATGGTGGTGGTGATGATAAAGAGAGGGTGAATGATGATGGTGGGGAGAAGAAGGAAGAGGTGGTGGTGGAGGAAGGGAGAAGGAAGATGAAGAAGAGAATAGAATGACGGTGAAGAGGAGGAAATGGAAAACCTATGGGGCTGTTCAAATATAATCTTACACTTTTGGGGACTTTTTTAAAACACAAAACCCAATACCACTTTTCTCACATTTGCCTCCAACCCCCCACCTACACCAATTTAATATTAGTACTTTTTCCGATCTTCAATTTCCATTATTATTTTAAAGATACCTGTACTATACGTGGCTTTTTTTTACTAACTTGTAAAAAAAAATATCATTTCAGTTAATACAATTTAATCAAACCATATGGACTAAAAAGAAACGCATATATGTGGAAGACATTGAGACTGTTGTCAGTGCAATAGGTACGTGCCTTACAAATAAAAGACACCAAGACATTAAAAGATCAACAAAACAGTTGCAAAGTTATAAAGAAACATTAAGAAATTAGATGTCCACCTACAGAATTTTCATCATAATTTCAAAATTATTTGTACCCCCCCCCCTCCCCTAAAAAAACAACAACAAAAAGCAAAAAAAACAACAACAAAAAGCAAAAATAAAACAACAACGGGGATCTGCAGTGATCGTGCAGATCTGGGTCTTGTTACTGGCATTTATATCCACTTTTTCTTTTACCTTTTCTTCCCAGTCATGAGCAAAACGTTCATCTCACAGAAGTGTCATATTTGGTTAACATCCCCACCCAATCTTACACTTTTCTTACAGAATCCAAAGACACCTTTTCCCCTCTGAGGTGTAAGTTTATATTTTGAACGGCCCCTATAGGCCTAGATCTAATACATTGAGGCATGTCGCGTACATGAGAGGCGGAGTAGGGTCGCTTTTCGAGGATCGCCGTAAAAAAAGCCTGGGACTCACTGGGAGGCTATCTTTACGGCACGCCGTAAAAATAGCCACTGCGATTACTGTTTGATTCGCGTGCCCGAGAGCCTTTCAAACTTATTACAAAACATCAAATTGTGGTCAAATTTAGGGGGGCATGCCCCCCTGAAACACCCCATGATCTTTTTTTTTAAAGTCAGGGTTAAAAAACCTTGCCTTGTGAAAAACAAGTGAAATATTACTGCTCATTTTGTAGGCTAGATTTAAATCTAGATCTAGTCTAGGCTACTACTGATAAAACATAAAACATTGATACCGACTATTTAAATCAGTATCGATATTTCAGTAGGCCTACACAAAGGTCGGGACCACCATATCAAAGTAGTGCCCGTTTCGGGCATCATAGGACCCCTGTCACTGAGCGCTCCGTCCAGGCGACAAAACTCACCTCCCTCTCTCACTCCGCTGAGTGCGCGAGGCGACTATTGTTGATCTGGTAGAAAACCTTATCTTTTGAGCAAATAGTGTCACATTTAGTATTTGTTGCTATTTATTGGTTCTGTAATGGAAAATTCTACTCTTGAATGGTTTAACCAATCAAAATTTTAAAGCAAAAAATAAGCTTAGGGTCGAGGCACTGCGTGCCTTAAAAATAATCGTGGGTTCTGTTATGTTTTTTGTGTTGTAAACAAATTTGGCCAATTCTAACATTACAATGACAAACTATAATCTATTAACGAACATTATTAACATTATTTCATTAAACAGCTTTCAGTTAAGGCTATTACTTCTCTGGCAAGTGAATTCCTTTCTGAATTTAGAAATATACACTTGTCTAGGGTTTTGGTGAAGATATGCATGCGATTTAAAAAAATGAAACAACATCACTCCCCGCGGGAGCCTATAAAAATCGGGCAGTGCTCTGGGGCAGGTCACAAACGGTCACTCTTACAATTCACAAATTATTTTCTGAACTATCATCCTATTTGCCTACATGTAGATCAAGGCTTACCGCTTGTTCTCCACACCCAGGTAGGCCTAATAAAAATCCATTTCATCTCTGACCGGGTAAGCCATTTTGTTCTCACCCGGGGTGAGAATAATATTTTGTATTTTTATTTTCACCCCGGGTGAGAATAATGACAGCCATTACTAATAGATCTAGAATCTAACTATCAGAATAGTAGAAGGCAAGGCGAAGATTCAAATCAAAATGAATCTGGACCGGCTCTATTCAGACTGATTACATTTTTATCAAATCGGACTATGGGTTTTATCTATTTGGACTCGGTCTGAAAAAATGTTTTATTTATTCAGACTCGGCTTCTAAGTGAGTTATGTGAGTGTAAGGAGGTTAGGCCTCTCTACATAAATATAACGTATGTCATCAGGTAATTTTAATTTTACTTAAAACCAGAATTAGAACTAGAATTACCTACTACGACTGTAATTGTGTCAAAAGTTAAGACTGCACTCTCATTGCCCCAATGGCAGTATCTTTAGAAGTACACGGTAACCGACAACTCATGGTCTTTCCACCACCACTACCACATCATCATTACTTTTACCACCATTTGGCTTTCCACATGTTTAATTTGATTTTGTTGTGTGTTATAAGTTTTTTTGTTTTATATTTATGTTTTATTTTAAATCACATCACACAAAATTGACAGCCGTGGCCTCTTCCCAACACCTCTTCCCCCAGCAAGCCGAGAGTGCGTGATCGCTGCATGCAATCTCATTGGTCGACATTGTTAACTTTGCCCCCGGCAAGGTAAAACTCAATTTGGTTGTTCTGTTCATATAATGACGCAGGGAGGGCCAGTTTAGATAGATCTAGTAACTGGATATTAAAGCTCACGTCTCGGTTGTTATCATTAAAATTGAAAAATTTGTCATAAAAATGCTGGAAATATTTAGGAGGAACAAGGGTCGGAAGTCAGAACAGACGTCAATGCTGGATTCAATTCAGAGTCCGAATATAATTTTTGTCTAATTCGGACTCGTCACTTCGATGAATATGATAAGACAAGGAGAGAGATCTTTGAGTTCAGACTTCTTGTAATTGTACTGACATACTGTAATGACACTTAGATCTAGATCTCTAGTTCTAGTACTTATTAGTGTACAGTACTTGTAATTGTAGCTGTAATGACACTTCGATATGTAGATCTTGTACTAGGTGTTGAGTTGAAACTAGGTCCAGTTACTGTTAACTTTAACTTTTTAAAAAAAAGTAAAAGCTAGATATCTGGATATCTATGATAGATCTAGATTCTATGTGTCAGTGTTCTTTCCAGTCCGTGGTTTTGACTAGACGTCTATCTATATTTTGATTTTTTGCTTTAAATAAGTATATAAAAGCCAGTAGTAAGTAAAGCTAAAGACTTGATAGTAAAGTAAAATGAATGAATCTGCCATACAGACGAAGCCCCATACAGAAGAGGGGAGATGTATTTATTTTGAATCATGATGAACCCTATTGTCCTGTGTAGCTGATTTTTCTCTCTGTTATTTGCATGATAAAGTAGAAACCTGGCAAAGTTTTACTTTTGTCTGCACACAGCAGATCATGCTCTGCTTTTGAGGGTCAATGAACTTAAAGTTTCAATATTTCGGCACTTATATGACCGTATTGTGTTGCAAGTGCCGTAAAAGATTGTCCATTCAGTAATTATTTCCCTTCACTTAGCAGCATCGCCACTGGTGATGTTTCGTTGTTTCGATTTGTTATCCAATCTAAAAAATTCACTTTGATTTCTCTGGTTCTCACTTCTCATGGATAACAACACAAACTGCTCAGACATGCTCACACATATATTTTTAGGCTTATAGATCTCATTTTTTTTGTAAGAGCAGACCTGTTTCGCCTTGTTCAGGGGTCAGCTTTTCCTACAGTTCTTAAAATGAAAAAGGGAAGTCTGCGGATAGCAGCTGAGTTATATTATGCCCCTTGGAATTTGCCTGCCTTAAGAACCTGCTTTTTTAAAATTCCTGACAAGTGGGGTTGTTAGACGGAGGCCACTGTACATGAACGTTATATATTGCCATCTTCATAAAAGAAAATTAAGAAACTAGAACTGTACCTGGATTTAAAAACTTTGAGATCCTCATTTTTGTTGCAACAGCGGCATGCGTGTCTCTTTACCATTGACTGACACTGAATTATTTCATCACTTGTTTTGATTTTCTCTTTTTTTTCAGCCTTCATTGTGGCGGGGCGCCTGGTTAAACATACTGTACGTTTGTTTCAGCCTTTTTTCTACGAACTGACCAAACCTCTGAGCAGCACCTTCTTCCTGGATAGTGATATTGAGTCGGGTCGGCAGCATTCCACTATGTCGGTGGACTCGGAGAACAATGGGAAGTAAGTGCACTCATACTTTTCTGCACTTTATACAAGTTGGCTTGTATTGAGAGGACCAAACTTTCTTTCTTATACTTCGTGGTCGCCTGAAACAGGTTAAACAGTGGCATTGATGGCCTTGTGGTTAGGCTTTCGGACTCGTAATTGTAAGGTAGTAGATTAGTATCATAACAGAGGCCCGACATTGTGTCTTTGGAAAGGCACTTTTTAACACAAATTTTCCTCACTTCACCCAGTAGGGATTGAGTAGGCCTACCTGGTTTTAGACAATGAAAGACTGTTTCTGTTTGTTAGTGTTTGAGGGCTTTATCAGCAGCTTGCACTGTATGATATCCACAGAGTTGATCACATATCTGAGTGTTCTCGGGTCTGCTGGGGTAATGCAAAGAGCATGCTGTAGAGTGTGGATATGCACTATTTAACACTGCAATTATTATTATTATTATTGTTATCATCATCATTAATTGTTGATGTTGTTGTTTTTACTATTATTATTATTATAATGTTATACCGCTGTTCTTTCCTCAAGTTGTTTCTGTGCATCTGTCATTGCTCTGTTTCGGCCCTCTGTGGCCATTACTGTTTTGCTGTGCTTCTTTCCCACACGCACAAACATAGACCGGGTGTTTCATGAAGGAATTTATCGTACCCTCAGAACACGAAGGCGAGGGCGGCCGATGGAGAGTGTCGAGCACACGGACCTGGAGTCGGACTCGTTCTTCCCGCACATCCCGCTGTCGACCTCGTGGGAGGACGGGAAGTCGGATGGGTCGCAGCGGAAAGAGGGGTCGGACCTGAGTGGGGACCTCGGCAGCATCTCCCTCCTCATGTTCCTCTACATTCTGCAAGGGATCCCGCTGGGCCTGGCCGGCAGCATCCCCATGTTGCTGCAGAGCAGGAAGGTCAGTGACGTCATAATTCGCAGCAGACGTGCCAAGTATGTCGATAAAATCACAGCCTGTTGATTTTTTAATTTTTTTTTCTATTTGCCTAGTAGGGATGACTTCACTTTTTGTTTCTCAAAAGCCCAATCTGATTATTTGTTCTCCTTTAGTGAAGGCCATAGTAAAATTATCACTGTGTAGATGTGGCCTGATCTCACTCCCCCCTCCCCCCCTCCCAAATCTTTTAGCACTTGTGTGACCTGTTTGTGTTGCAAGTACAGTGACACTCTTGCTAAAACTAAACAAATGGACAACTGTGCCCCCCTCCTCAGGTGAGCTACACAGACCAGGCAATCTTCAGCTTCGTCTACTGGCCATTCAGCGTTAAGTTGTTGTGGGCGCCGCTCGTAGACTCGGTGTACTCACAGTGGTTCGGCCGACGCAAAACCTGGCTCATCCCCATACAGTACCTCATGGGTGAGGCCTTGTTGTTGCTGCTGTCTGTCTCTGTCTGTCTGTCTGTCTGTCTGTCTGTCTGTCTGTCTGTCTGTCTGTCTGTCT